AATGCAGTTATAAAGCAATGGTTGGATTAAAATTATAGAAACTTGCGGTGTTATTAAAACACAATTAACGTTCTGTTATATTATTATTACTCCCAAGAGGACGTCTTCTCAATATTTTGCCTATAGAAGTAACAGTAAGTGATACCCGTCCAAGACTCACGCCTCACGCCGCGGTTGATCCCTGTGTATCAGTTGCCCGGCAACGTCATAAATAACATTCTGTACCCGAGGAGAGACTGCGGGGCTCCGCTGCTGAATTTGAAACTATTTAACACTTACACGATTTATTAAATTGGCTGTGAAACTAGACTATTAAATAAATTAAATATTAGGATCGGGTGGACGAACAAGTTGGTGAAATTTAATGGATTACCTTAACAGTGATTTCAGTGATGATTTCAACAGCTTTGCCGTTTACAAAATGCAGCATTGCTATTTGCCCAATTGATAAATACAGCTTTAGTTCAATGGACGATTTGAATAGCATTAAACCTACATACACTCGTGAAGGGCCGTTTGCCCAATGTATCGTTTAGATAAAAAGCTCTTTGGATTCTAAGCCAAGGCTCCTCAAAAGCTGTAATCGGTGCAATACTCTACCTAAATCAATACGCGTTGCTTGCAGTTAATTTGATACAATTTTAAAACCCATGATAGCACAATTATTATTGGTACATGCAAATATTAAAAATAACATAGAGATGAATTCAGCATTCAAATTACCAGTACGGTACAGGAAGCTTTTATATATTTTTTGTACAAATGTTTAAATAAAGTTTTGATCAAAACTGGAAATAAAAATGAATGAACGAATCAGATTTCATTACACGATGTAAAACTATTATTGAACATTCTGTTCGGGGTTTGTTGAAACAAGGTTTAATATTAGCTTGAAGCAAAAAGTTTGGTTTGAATGACAGCCACCTGACTGTGACAGTTTTTTCTAACTCTCGGCAGAATAAACTGAGCTGATTTATCCTCTGTAGTTGGAAATTAAAAATTAACGAAATCCCTGCCTTACTTCTTTTTACTGCAAAGCAATTTCGTTTCACAAAAAAATAAAAATATTGTATCGTACTTTTCATAAATTTAAAATTTTTACTAATATATTGCGAGAATGGTAATCCAGAATGGTAGCTAAGGGTTACTGCAATAACTTTCAAAATTTGATTTTCCTTATAAATTTACTATTTTACGGAGGTAAATGTATAAACATTCTTTGAGACAGTATCAATAACTGCTGTCATTTTTTATGCAATACTTCGGTTGGAAATCCAAAAACAAAGGAAAACACCGTATAAGCCTTGTCTCAAATTTAAAATGTAAATATAATACCCAAGAAATCGTATATATCCCTTTTTTTACTGGTATATATCAATAGGAAAAATTGATTGTTATTATTTCTAATTGACAAATTTCTGATTCCGAATTCGTAAATGATTGGTCGTCTAAAGAAGGTTGTGATTAAATAAGACGCATTGTTAAGAATGTATTAAATTATGAAATTTACTCCACAGTTAAATTTGCTAATGATAGATATTTTTTATATATTTAAGCAGGAACAATGTTTTCCGAAGCCATACAAAACGTCCACTACTTGCAGACATTATGTAACGATGTTTGCCAAGTAAATTACACCCATCCCCATCTCACAGCAATTTAAATCTCAGATTTCAAACAAGGCAAGAAACGATACAAAGAACCTTTATTTACTTACATTGTAAAGATTTCCTTCCTTCCAGCACGAAGAAAGACGACGGAAAATTTATGAAAAATACAAGCTTATGTTTTCAAATGAGAGCGAGATGGAACCTCGGCGACGGAGGCGGAAATGCAAACACGCAGATTGCGGGACAAACATCACACAGAAAATCCGTACAAACTGCCTCCGCCATCTTGTGTGGGAAAACTTTCTATCTTGAATTTTAGAAATTTTCTTTTTGATTCCAATCAACAAACTTCAAACTAAAGTATGTGTTTGGTTCATACGTCATTTATAAATCAAAAAATCAATTTCGTACATTTAAAAGTTTAATGAATGCTTTGAGAGTTAGAAAAATATCGACTGTAATAAGTGCTATCTTAAGTTATCTACTTGCAAATAACTAGGTTTTTACTGTTCACAACTGACAAGATGTTTTTAGTTCATAGGAAGATTCATGGATTCAGTAAAAAACATATATGTTATTACCTTAAAAAAATGTATACAATATCATTACTGTAAATACGTTTATTCTTTGCCGTGTGTAGCATTTATTTTGAATTAAAAAAGTATTAAAAAAATACAAATACATTATACACAACTTCCACAGTCTTAGTAGCCATATTTTATTTGATATAAATAGCCTACAACATGCAAATAAATGATCTGCTTAAACAGAACAAGATTTGTATTTGTATTGTATTTCTTGGTCTTACACAAAGTGTGTGCTTTTTATAAGGTTGCTTTTTCACCTAAAACCACGGTAACGTAACTATCTTTTCTTACATTGTTGTTTTTCGTCGCTACAAATTAATATTTACATATTACTATTTCTAAACTGATATGGGTTGGATGGATAATTAATTCATATGGGACACCATTGTATATTCTGTTTTAATCATACAACAACAATGGCCGTCCACGTGTTATATTTTATCAACAGCTGTTTACTCCAGCTGACCGAATGTTACGAGTCCGTCATATCAGTTTGATACGTCAGTTTCCAGCACAAGCTGTGCAGCGTATCGAGTGGAAATATTTCCGATATTGGATATCAAGAGTTGACATTCTTTTCAAAATGCCAAACCCAAACCTTTTTAGCCTTTTATACCAAATTCTGGAATATCTTAAATAGTCCATGTATCTTAAATTAATATAAAATATTCAACTCGATTGGTGAAATCGTTCATGAATTTCATCTAAATGTCTTTGAAACATTTATAAACTATTGAACTCCGCCTACTTTTCTCTTCTGACGTTGTAAACTGAGAATATTTAAATACACGTACAGCACGAGCGCTGTTTTACTTCTACATACAGACTACATCAACCGTTTGCATATTCTGTGTGGAGAACATGCCTTCATCAACTAACCCCTTCATCTCACCAAGCTTTGCTATTCTGTCATTCGTCATTCCCAAGCTGCATTCATTCACACTTTGGTCATTTGAGAAAATGATTCTCGCACTGATTGCTTCGTCTCGTTTGAATTATAAAGCACATAAAAGGTTCAGTCGTTACGAATTAAAATTGCCACATGACTACTTTTCTAACTGTACGAGATCTTTCTAAGATGATTATTAATTTCCGATATAATTCCTTACAGTGCGAAAACAGAAATGTATTATCATTCTGCATTACACTTTAGTTGAGTATGTGTTGAGAGATTCTTTTCATAAACCAAAAAATGTCACAATTTTGAATGATAGCCTATACAAATCTTCAACGATTTAAAAATACTGTACAAAGCTTTAACCAAAATGTTGAACCGTTCAATGTAATAGTTTTCTCCAGTTTGTTTCGATACCTTGCACACAGAACAGCTACGACGAGCTGTACACGGCGGTTCCAACAAGACTTAACAATTTTGAAAGCTGTAGGTACAAATCCAAATTTCAGTTTGATAGCTGTAGCTAACCCAACTTGCAGAAATTGTGTCCACCCACATAATTAGAGATCTTAAATAAAATTGACCATCTCCATAATGACAATTATTGATGCACAAATAGTTAACAAAAAAGTGTATTTTTCACATCACAATCATAATAACTGAAGGAGACAAGCACATACTAGCCCAAACTTCATTAGGAGTTTTTGATGTTACTATTACTGAAAAATTCTCGCAATAGGAAAGGTTTTATGTGTTAAATAAGTTGAACAAGAGTAACTCTCATAGTCCTAATAGGTTCAACTGAATTGGATATGTATGACGCCACGCGTTTTTACTAAACTGTTAATTTATGCTAAGAATTAGCAGTAATATCCATCAAAGCTATATCGAACCATAGATAAAACATACTCCCTATCGAACCTATCCATCAGTAGACGAATAAATAGTTATGTACAATGGTACCCAACCAAGGTAAAAAGCTACATACCTTCTAGATAATACTTTCAATAAGCTAGTACCTACGAGGAATACAAATTTACATCCATTTTTGAGTCACCTTGTGTACATTGGATGAGTCACTTCGTGCTGGTGCTGCAGAGCCAGGGGATGATATTGCAGCCCGGTGACATATTGTCTCCTTTTCCTACTTCCCTCACATCTGAAGATTGGATACATTGCGTCGTCTGCAGTGCGGTCTGCGGAAAACAGAGCAATGGACTCAAGAAAACAACGAAGACAATTACGCTAAGAATAATCTTCTGAGACAAGAGTATCGTTTGCATGTTTGTAATTTTATACAATCTTCATGCATGTCGTTTAATCTTGTCTCAAAATATCACAGGTTAATATATGGTTGTACCGGGCTTAGCCTAATAGTTGCACCATAAAGTGGTGCAGCATTTTTATGTAACAAATAAACCCAAACATATTTAAAAGTTTAAAATTAAAACATAAAATAAGGATCTACTAGTAATTTATTTAGGTGTGATAAATCCTTCTATTCTGTTTTGCGTATAGTTTTCAGTTTTAGTTTATTAAACTAAAAGGTTGTATTTTTTTATTTTTTAGTGTATTCCCGCATAGCGAAGTACAGTAGCGCCCATGTCATGCATGCCCATGTGCATGCAGTAGCATGCATGTTTGTCACATGTGTTTTAAGCGCCTACACAATGTTGGTCCTTGCATTCTATTAAATGGTCTGTTTCTGCCGCATCAAATTGCTTGCATCCTACAAAAATGGTTATACGCGTTCAATCATTCAGTAAAATCTTTGTATTTCCAAACATAATATTAATTAAAATCCAAAGGTAATTGAAGATGTGATTGATGTTAAAGTAATATTGCAAAAACAGCTTTTGTAACTTTTTAAACGCATAATCAACTACAGTAATCTTATTTCTGTTACAGACAAATACTTTCCATGAGGATCAACCATAATTGGAAATAGCTCAACAGGTAAGTTAGGTTCAATTAGTAATAGTGTGCTAGTTTGGTGTTTTTAGTAAAAATTAACTTTTTCTCGATATAATTAAGTAAATATGTATAATTATTTTGTAAAGGTGTACTCAGTGTACACCGATTTTGGTCGCCGATTTGTTTGAACTAAGTTATGCCACACGTATGCGGTATTCTGATAAAAAAATAAAATAAAATAAAAATAAAAAAGAGAAAGGTTTATTTCTCTTGCCAGGAAATATTGGCATCGAATGACAAACTCGTGGGTTGTGGCAGCGTTTTGGGATTGTCGAAAAACCGGAACCGATCTCTACACCGAATCAGTCAACAACACACTCTGAACTGAAACAATCTGTCTAGCACCGACATTGTTTTTGTTTACATGGTGGAAATAAATTCCCCCCCCCCCTACACTCTCTACCGCTAGCCTATATTTAACTAGTTCAAACTTGTTTCGCCATATCGCAGCAAAGACAGTTAATAGTAGTAAACGCAACGATTGTGTAAAGATAGTTTGACTTCTACGAGTGTCGTTATAACTATCTTAATAGGCGTAAAATACCTACTTTTGTGTGGTCGTCATTTCAAAGTAAAGTATTAAAGTAAAGTAACTCAGACTATACACACAGTCGACGCTGTCACACGCCCCAGTATCCTGAGGTAGACATGGTAGCCATGACCTTGGCCAATGTAATGTCACATGTAGGAGATGTTTGTGCCCGCATCGTTGTCAAACCATTAGTCAACCGGTAGCGCCAACCGCTAAACAAGGATAATGTCTCCAACATGTTTCTTATAAAGCAGTATACCTTGACTTTTTGTAGATGGAAGGTTAAAATGAATTTACACATTGGAGGGATCGCTTTCTTTGCTCAGGAAGGGTCTGCTTTACATATTACTCCGGGCTAAGCCTTTATTATATGCCACTAGGGCATTCCTTGTTTCCTGTCTAGGTGGATCGGCCGACTTTATTCAAAGTATGCTCTCCCTCTCTCAGTGAAGCCTGCAAGATGGATCCAAGGGATCATACTAATATTTGATTAGAAATTAGTTTTGTTTTGTTTTGTATTCGGGATAGGCCAGTGTGACAGAAAATTGTTGTCACTTTATATTCACGTTTTACATAGCTGGAACACAAGTACAGTAACTTGCACGGATTATTGTATACTATAGATATTCTTCCCTTAAACAAAATACAGTGATTTAGTCAATACAGTAATGCATCCTGTATATATTCTTTTTTAGACATTATTGTGAAGATCCTATATGGATATTTCGTTTTCTAGTTGTTCAGAGTGTATTATGTATTATTAGTAATGCATCCTGTATATATTCTTTTTTAGACATTATTGCGGAGATCCTATATGGATACTTCGTTTTCTAGTTATTCAGAGTGTATTATGTATTATTAGTAATGCATCCTGTATATATTCTTTTTTGACATTATTGCGGAGATCCTATATGGATATTTCGTTTTCTAGTTATTCAGAGTGTATTATGTATTATTAGTAATGCATCCTGTATATATTCTTTTTTAGACATTATTGCGGAGATCCTATATGGATATTTCGTTTTCTAGTTGTTCAGAGTGAATTACGTCTAATTTATCGTTAGTTTTTACTATTAATATAGTGTCATCATTTATTATTTTAACCTTTAGTTCACTATTCATCCATTTCATTTTTTTATATAACTGTTGTTGGCCATTTCCTGCTAATATCAGAGATGATTCCCCCGCGCTGTGTGGCTGGAGCTGAAGTAGCAACCCCTGTGACACATAATCCCCCATTTCCTATTTCCGCAGATCTGAACAAATTGGCTACGTAAACCACCCTTTGACTGCGACTGCAGTGCGTCGCTGGGGGGGGAGGGGGTCACGTGGCTCGTCGTGTGCTTTGGAATTATATTTCAAATGTACAGTAACTGGAAAACAAATGCAGACGCTCTTGAAATATTAGACTACATTGTTTCGTAGATTTTCCCAATTGGTTGACGGACAGTAATGAGCTCATTAGACTTGTCTATGTCTATGATGAGGAGTTTGTCACTGTTTAGTTACAATCATCGACGAAATGATATTGACTGTGTTGCTAATAAGTCGTTACTTAGTTATATCGCTAAACAATCAATTTGTCTGACGTAAGTGTGCTTGTGTTGAACTTTGGATCCACTTGCTAGTTGTTATAGGATTGGGCATCTAATAATAATTATCAACCTACAACTACAGATAGTCATTGAGACGGTGACAAGGCTAAGTGTAAGGTCAAAAAGAAAACAAATACCATAGTTTTAGAAATAAGCAAAAAAATATTATAAATGTTGACACCAGGGGTTTACCTCAATAGATACTCAAGACCAATGACAATCAAGAGTGAGGGTTTTGTTATCATCACAAAGCAATCTTGGTGACAGAAGATTCTATTGTTTCCTGAGTAATCCAGAATTTGTTTTTGTTACCACTCTTAAGGGTGTTTGGTCAAAAATTTGATGTCTTATTTTTTGTTATTGTTCAATTGTACTAAAAATTAGAGATACAAATATATCAGAAAAAATTATTTATTTTGAATATTAAGCGAGATATGGAGCTTGAAAGTAGTAAATTTTTAATCTTTGGTACCAGTTCACAGGGAGAATGGGTAATGCGATTCTCACCAAAATTTGCATTCAGGTGTGGAAAAATAAGATAATAATCACTAGCTATTTAAAATTAAAAAAATTTTTAAAAAAAATTTAAAAATAGCTCTTTGTTTTTGGGAAAAATGTATCTGTATGTTGGAATAAAAAAAAATGTGATATGTTTACTCGTTTGGGCTGTGAATTCGTACCTTTGATGCCTTGCGCTGTCGGAGCACTACTCGTTGAGAGTGTGTACACTAACACCGGGGCTTTAGAATACAACGATAAACGTATTCTTTCAATGTTAAAGGATGTTAATAATTACGTGATGTTAGAGTATTCTAAAGCCCCGGTGTTAGTGTACAAACTCTCAACGAGTAGTGCTCCGACAGCGCAAGGCATCAAAGGTACGAATTCACAGCACAAACGAGTTAACATATCACATTTTTTTTTATTCCAACATACAGATACATTTTTCCCAAAAACAAAGAGCTATTTTTAATTTTTTTTAAAAATTTTTTTTAATTTTTTAAAAAATTTATAAAAAATATTTTTTTTTAAAATTTTTTAATTTTAAATAGCTAGTGATTATTATCTTATTTTTCCACACCTGAATGCAAATTTTGGTGAGAATCGCATTACCCATTCTCCCTGTGAACTGGTACCAAAGATTAAAAATTTACTACTTTCAAGCTCCATATCTCGCTTAATATTCAAAATAAAACATTTTTTCTTATATATTTGTATCTCTAATTTTTAGTACAATTAAACAATAACAAAAAATCAGACATGAAAATTTGCGACCAAACACCCATGAGTACAAAAACACATTGGAACAATTAACAATTCCAATTAGTAGAAATTAGTGCATTATTGCACAATCAAATCTACTTGGGCCTGTTTAAATGCTGCAATTTAACTCATTAGCAATGTGTACTCGACGAATTATAGTTGGCTAAAACTAGTTAATTAACTTTAAAGGCTTCGTAAAAAAAAGGCATTCACAATTTTACCCCTTCTGTATTAACTTTTAGTTTACTTCAAAAATAAAAGGGTAAAGGTAGTATGGATTTAAATATGGAATCGTCATGTTATTCTTTATTCGATACATTTTGTAAGAGTTTTAGTTAAGTTTTAGATGGTATATCTTCTAAAACATAAAAGAGTTTTATGGAGGAAATTTATGAGGGATACAATCAGATGTTATCAAAGAGGAGCGAGACGGTAATCTCTCGCCGCAGGTACAAACGTAAAAAAGGAAATTGTGAGGGAGTGAAACCTCTATCCGGCTACGTTTCTGGGATTGAGAAGTATAAATGGATTTTACACCAGGGATTTTTATTATTATTATTATTATGTATCTATTATTTGAAGACGTGTATTTATCATATTGGCTCAAATAGTAAAAGTGGTCATTTCCTTTCTACGTAAATGCACTTTATTAATTCCAGCAGATAAGATGTGTGGAATTAGCTTTTACAGCTCAAAAGTAAAATAACCAACATTTACTCGGCCGAGTGCCTATTGTTTTTGTTTAGCGAGTTTCTATTCAATTATTTTCTCATCTCTGAACATAATGTTATTGTTTGTAAATACATCGACATTTTGTCTGCACCCGAGTCGTCTTGCAGGATCTTATACCAATGAGAAATCGTTTTAGAGAAAATGTTTTGGATTCAATTTGGTTAACCCATGTATTTATTTGTTTGATGACGACGATTAGAATGACCCCTGACAGATACATTTTATTTCTGTCGACCCTATGACAATTTATAAAGGTTTAGAGTTAGATAAAAAGTGTAAAGTTGCATTAACTGCAAAACAATTGCCCATTCGTTACACAGCCCCAGAGAAAACTCACGGTTTAATTAAACCAAGATATTTACGATGCTCGGAACACCGGATACTAATTATTTAGAGTGAAAGTCTGTGATTTTTCAGTTACTGTTGACTTACCACTTGCTGCTTTTCATTAACCGTATTTCAATTCAATATGCTTATGTTTATGCTATTTAAGAATTGTATACTATAAAGTAACTTGGTGTTATTGATCAGTTGCTGTATTGTGCTATAAAGAAGTTTTGACAAAACTGCATTAAAATTATTTTGTATATATTTTTTGGACACACCTATTAGAGCTTTAGATACATATTAACCTATAGACGACTTATACTAAAGGTAAAAATGTCTCGTACCTTGTATATTATGTTTCAATGTCCAGCAGAAACATCCACACAAAGCATATTTAACAATATTATTTTCACATATCAACAAAATATGAATGTATTAATCACACGAATACATTAAGCAGTTACAGTTGTTTATAATGATTATTTTACTTGGATTAGTAAAATAACCATTACAGTATAAATCTATAGCAGGTG